CGACTCTATGAACCACCAATTGCATTTTGATTAAGTAGTTAATGGCCTGTATTTGATATAGCACCTATTAGAGTCCTGGGACCCCCCAAGGCGCTTCACAACACAATCACACATTCAACCATTCACACACTGGTGGTGATGAGCTACAACGTAGCTACAGCCGCCCTGGGGCACACTGACAGAGGCGAGGCTGCCGAGCACTAGCGCCACCGGTCTTTCCGACCACCACCAGCAGGCAAGGTGGGTTAAGTGTCTTGCCCAAGGACACAACAACAGCGACAAACTAAGCGGGGGCTCGAACCTGCAACCTTCTGATTACAGGGCGAGCACTTAACTCCTGTGCCACCGTTGTTTACCAAAATGACTAAAACCCCATAATCTCATTCCATGAATATATCTTGAATTAAAAGTTGGATGACAGGCAGTAGGTGACAGTCCTTCATGGGTTTAAACAAATAGGGCATCGTCATGCTGTCCACTTCTTCACTGCAGTCCCAAAGGACAACACGATCTGATGGAGTATTGAAACCTGAGCTGTTTGCAAACAAAAATTATACTAAAGACATTTCAAAGCTCGTCTTCTCCCCAGAAGGCAGTTTTGTACCATGCGCGCGCGTGTGTGCGTGCATGTGTGTGCGTGTGTGTGTGTGTGTGTGTGTGTGTGTGTGTGCGTGCAATGATGGGATATATTATTGACTTATTGCATTAGATGGGCTCTGCTTCATGCTCTAACATCACCCTCGGAGAAATAAAAAGCATCAGATCAAACTCAACACACACACACACACACACACACACACACACACACACACACACACACACACACACACACACACACACACACACACACACACACACACACACACACACACACACACACACACACAGAGTTAACACAAATTGTTTTGGCTCTTGCTTTGGCATAGTGTGTGTATTCTCTCTCTCTCTCTCTCTCTCTCTCTCTCTCTCTCTCAAGCTGCAAAGCTGTGAGATCCAGTTGAGTGTTGTGTGAAGGATTGAGCTTGTTCTCTGCCAGTGGCGTGAGAACCTGGCAGCACAAATGATGTCAGGAGAGTAAAAGAGTGGGGGGAAAAAGAGAAAAGCAGAATGGTGGTCTGCTGTGAGCCCAGCAGGTGGACATGCAATCAGTGTGAGAATGGCAAAGAGGAGGGATAAACATTAGAGGGTGTAACTGGGGAAAAAGGAAAATCCAAATTCACTCTGCTTCTTGGCATCATCCTAGTCCAGAGTGTGGGTGATTGCGCATGTGTGTGGGGGTGTGTGTGTGCTATGTGTATTGTAATCTCTGAGCTGCATATGAAGGACAGACGTGTCTAATCCACAGAAATTGGAGTCCAGCTCAAATATCCCTATAGAGTTTATCTAACTCAGCGCTAACACACGTTTATTAAAAACACACAACTTTGTGAGCAGAGTTGATGTATAATTTATAAAATAAATGAATAATCCTGCTGATTTTATGATCTCAAATTAACATAAAGTAATTTTCTCTTAGCTGCTGCTTAGATGAATGCAGTTCAGCCAGTCATTCTGTCAGAAGGGCTCGCTGGGCTCAGGAAAACAACTCTCAGGTGATTTTACAGGGTTAGGGTGAATGTTTAAGGTGAGAAGCGCCGGCAGCAGGATATGAGGAGTTTAGTTTATCTGTGATCAGAAACAACTGCGATACGACAAGAGGAGAGCGAGCTGATGATAGTTTACCTAAAGCAAATTATGTGAAAATGTTCATTTCTATAAATTCTTTAAAATGAAGTGATGAATGTGGGTGGGGAGGAAGTGGGAACACCAAGAATGAAAGCCAACAGAGATATTAGGATGTGTGTTGATGATGATCTAAGAGACTGCTCTAAAATGTCAATGACCATTAATGTCAGTAGGAGAGGAGGGTATGGGACCACATGTAAAGATGGTAGATGGTCTGACCGAGTCCAAACTGGAGGCTTCCTAGTCCCCCCAGGAACCTCCAGCGGAAGATGACGGGGACATGCTGGATGTCTGCGTTGGCAGTCATGACCTGATGGATGATGACAAGCAGTTCTCCATTAGGGACTGTGTGGCTACTGCTGCTGCCACCACCTCCACCTCTGATCTCCAGGAGGGCACGTCAGTTCTTCTGCTTTTCCTACGAGCATGAAGCTCCAAGTGGATTGGCCTTTACCCCCTCCAGCCCAAAGAAGTCTTGTTAAATTGGTTTTTACCGAGTTTATCTAGTCACCATTGCTGCTTGCCTCGAGCAGAAATGGTGAGTTTCTCCATTAGCTGTGTGGTTTTTGAAAGGGTTTTACAAACTGAGACCGGTTACTACACTTTCTGTCCCTTCTCTGGACCTGATAAAGGGGCTGGAAGCTCTTTGTGGGCCTCCATTAGAGCCCACTGAATAAGCTGACTGAAGTTTCTGTCTTAAGAAGGCCCTGCTCTTAGCCCTGGCCTCGGCAAAGAGCGTGAGGGATCTTCATGCACTTTCAGTGCACCCTTCACGCCTGCAATGTTTGCCAGACGGTTCTAAGGCCACGCAGCTTCCAAATACGACATATCTGCCCAAGTTTGTCCCGCTGTGACCACGGAGCTTACAGGCTTTAACGGTCCTCCTTTTGGCTCTGATTAGATTTTCCGATCGTCTAATAAACTGTTTTTGGGGTTTTGCCAAATCCTGCACCTTTTGCTAATTCTAGTGTTTCTGGTGACCTTAGTGTCTCATATAATCTGTTAGACCTTTACAAAAGTGCACATTATTTCCATCAAAACATTGTGCATCATCTGCATTTTATGATTTCTGACTTTTTAAAATTAATGCTGTTTTGGCTAAACTTTAATAAAAGTAGTTACTAAAAAGTTTTATTCCCAGCCATATGGACTTTTTGGTTCAGAAACTTCAGGATTTCAGGTTTCAAGAAAGAAAAAATAATATTTCATTCTGCTCATTTTACTGCTATCATTTAAATGCTGCTATATTTAGTAAGTCCTTTGAATGACAACCGGTCTAAAACCCTTCAATGTCCTTCTGAAGCCTTTACATTCTGAAGAACAGAAAGGTAGAGGCCATTTTTAATAAATTATTACTTATGATTCACGCATAAAACTAAAGACAAATCTAAAAGAAACAACAGAAAACTCAGAATATACGATTCATTCGCAGGGACCATGTGCCAGAACCATCGGTCAGAACACACACACACACACACACACACACACACACACACACACACACACACACACACACACACACGAAAGCATGAACGGATGCACACACTCACATGCACACTCACGCATGCACAAACACATAGGTGTGAATGTGTGTGTGCATGGTAGTTTGTCTAGTGTGTTGCCCTGTGATGGGCTGGCGATCTGTCCAGGGTGTATCCTGCCTGTGCGCTCGTTGACCGCCGGAGTAAGGCACCGACCCCGTGACCCCGCATGGACAAACGAGTTCACGTTATGGCTGGATGGATGGAGAACCTAATTTGTTTTTTAATCTTCTTCATTTTTTCACTAAAAAGCATCCAAACACTCTCGTTAGATCTCATCTTCAACATGTCGACAAACAGATTCTTTATTAAATTTGAAATGACCCAATGATGCTACATGCGTGTGCAAACAGAAGCCCTCCACTCCAACCCCACCTCCTCTTCTCACCTCGAGGCCTGCAGAACACTGGTCAGAGCCAGGATCGATCCAGCAACCTTCCCATTACTAGACAACCCACTCTACCTCCTGAGCTGCTGCTGTCCCAATCACACACCACGGTTCATCCTCTTGGCACGCTGACTCCTTGTCCTCAGCCCCGTTGCCGATAAACATTTTCTGCCCGTTCTATATTTGTCAGTGGCATCAAAATGACATTCAACTCCACTAAATAGCAACCCGTCACCCAACAGGAAGTACTGGTGTCGACAGATAAGTACGGGCATGCTGCTGAGAGGTTACGCCCTTGTAGGTCAAACCTCTTTCTGTGATTGTGATGGACGGGGCAATCTGCACTCCTAAAGCTTCCCTTTGAATAAATGATCCGACAATGACAGCCTAAAGATTTAGCAAGTAAATGATGGCTCCAGGTGTGAGCTTGTGTGTGTGAACGTGTGTGTGTGTGTGTGTGCTATAGTTGTGTGAAAGCTGATGATGGTTTCAGACTGATGACGGAGGGGAGGATAAGAAGATGTAGTGATGCATGGAGGGGAGGCCAAAACAGGAGTGTTAATGTTCTCGGGTTTGATACTTTGACTTTGACTGTGCCCTTGAGATTTATCATGCATGTTTGTACATGAAAGTGTGTGTGTGTGTGTGTGTGTGTGCGTGCGTGCGTGCGTGTGTGTGTGTGTGTGTATTAAAGGGGAGAGAAAGTGAACTGATTCCCGCTCCTCAGTGTGTGCAGGATTTGGTGTGGCATGCTCTAATGACCAGTTAAAGGCCAGATTCACTTTTCCTTTCGATACTTTTTCAAGTGACTGATCAAATTTAAAAAATAACAAGTAAAAAGTGTTTCTCGGTAACGTGGTTTTTTAACCTTTCTTTGCGAATGAGTTATGATTGCTCACACAGATACTTTATGATTGCTTTGCTCCAATTAAACACATTCAGGTATCTACACACACTCATATGCATGCACACACACCTCCATCCACTTACACAGTGATCGGGTGCTCAGGTTATAGATTGCAGCTTTATTATTTGCCTATAAACTCATCACCAAGCCCACTAGAGTTACTCTCATCAGTGCCTCCATGTGCAGCCACCACACCTCTGTCCAAACTCCAGCATGTCGGAGGCTTTAATGTGTGGTGGGTCGCTTCTTTTGAACCGGAACAGAATCACTAAAACAGATAAAAACTTATGGTTGCTGCTTGATGTGTTGCTGAAGGAAGACTTAACGGCAAACCAGAAGCAAAAATGCAGTAAAATGATCACTTATTGATGTGAAATGAACTCAGTGGAGGTTTGTATCGACATAGGAGAGTTTACATTCAGAGATCCCCCCCCCCCCCCACACACACACACACCTGAATCATTAGGATATGATTAAATGTTTAAAACAGCACACTTTGAGTTACTTAGTGAGTTTAATCTTTTAGCTAATGGCCAACAATCTGACCTAACAAAACAACAAAATTCAGCAGCAAAAACTGGTAGAAAACTCCACAAGGTGCTTTTTCACCTAAACTCTCAGAACTACTGATGTTGTTCAGTTTCAGTATGTTGTGAATAATTTTTTTCACTTGTTGTACATTCACATAATTCTGGATTTGTCTAGCACGAGTACTCTAGAATGCACCTCTGTGGACAGACTCTGTTTTTAACGCCAGCATCTGATTGGGCCGTTGACTGTTAGCAACTAGTTAGAGACCCAAATCTGAAGCAAAGTTTGCACATTTTCTCTTGGAATCTCAGTGAATTTGCTCTCATGACACTTTTGATAAAACTGCTAAAAAACTGCATTAGCTCTGCATCAATCATGCTGTTTCTCATAGCAATTCACTCAAGTGTCATAATTGTGTCTGATTTTGGTCACAACTTTTGCTGTTTTTTATGATTCCCATGGAAGTCTGAGACAAGTCTGAGACAAGTCTGAGATAAGTCTGAGATAAGTCTGAGATAAGTCTGAGACAAGTCTGAGATAAGTCTGAGACAAGTCTGAGATAAGTCTGAGACAAGTCTGAGATAAGTCTGAGATAAGTCTGAGATAAGTCTGAGATAAGTGTGAGACAAGTCTGAGACAAGTCTGAGATAAGTCTGAGATAAGTCTGAGATAAGTCTGAGACAAGTCTGAGATAAGTCTGAGACAAGTCTGAGATAAGTCTGAGACAAGTCTGAGATAAGTCTGAGATAAGTCTGAGATAAGTCTGAGACAAGTCTGAGATAAGTCTGAGATAAGTCTGAGATAAGTCTGAGATAAGTCTGAGATAAGTCTGAGATAAGTCTGAGACAAGTCTGAGATAAGTCTGAGACAAGTCTGAGATAAGTCTGAGATAAGTCTGAGATAAGTCTGAGACAAGTCTGAGATAAGTCTGAGATAAGTCTGAGATAAGTCTGAGATAAGTGTGAGACAAGTCTGAGATAAGTCTGAGACAAGTCTGGCTCAAGCCTGAAATGTCAAATTCTCTTTACTTGTCTCCAGTCACAAATTTTGTCACCATCTTCTTGTAAAGTAGTTACATCTTTTTTCAATTTCTGCCTCACAGAAACTAAACCGACTACGTTCCTGATATTTTCTAACTATTTGAGTACTTTGAGAGAAAAATGTTTTTCTCTGCAAACCACAAAAGAAAATCAGAAAGCTTCCTGCATGTTTGGAAACATTTTGACACCCCCCCCCCATGCAAATCTGTTGAGAGCGGCGCAGTGAGATACTGGTTTTAGTGAGAAGTGGGCTGCCTTATATCATCCAGAAAAAAGACATTTTAAAATAAAGAAATGAACCCATTTTTTTCTCTTAGCTGTTGCAGAGATAAGGCATCAGTGTCCCGCCAAAACATTTGATCTACATTTCATGAACGTTTTGCGTGTGTGTGTTTGTTGAATTTGCCATGCACACTTCATGTCATGTTGTAATAAATATTTATAAGGTGTTCCTCAAGAGCACTTTACATTGTATGCAGGAACACACTCTATGTGAATGTTATTGCTCTCAATATTCTCAGAGGTCATTCTGTTTTTCTCTGACAGGAAGGCATCCTTATTGCAGTCTCTCTCTCTCTCTCTCTCTCTCTCTCTCTCTCTCTCTCTCTCTCTCTCTCTCTCTCTCTCTCTCTCTCTCTCTCTCTCTCTCTCTCACACACACACACACACACACACACACACACACACACACACACACACACACACACACACACACACACACACACACACACACACACACACACACACACACACACACACACACACACACACACACTCATGTGTAAGAGCATATTGTCATATTAAAATCTGTAACAAGGAGAGACAGGCAGGTCTCAGTCCATCAACAGGTGCATTTGAACTCCTCTCATCACTCCTGATTCAGTCTCTTCATCAGTCTGTCACACCTGCATGCCAGGTTTGCTCAGATCCCCGTTCCCCTGGTTCCCTCCTCCACCTCCTCCTCCCCTGTCGTCCTCATCATCACTGTCCACTTCCTCACTCTTCCTCTTGCTGTAGCGCTCGTACAACACCATTAACACACCCATCACCCACGCTGACACTGTCCCGGCCGAGAAGATGACAAAGCCAATGGCGATGAAGAAGAGGTAGTCCCAATAGCCAAGGCCCTGGTGGCAGTCCGCCCGCAGCTGCATGCCCACCTCCGCCAACCGCTGGCCCGCCAGCTCTGGGGGGTTGTAGCAAACTGTCTGGCCTTCATCTGGAGGTGAAAGACACATGAGAAGGAGCAATGAGAGCAGAAATTAATTAGGTGTGACATTTTGTGAATATGCACATGGATCAGAATGAAGGGCAGAGTGTCAGAATGAAAACAATGACAAAAAATGTAATTACTTTGGAGAAAATGGTGGGAAATTGTCAATAGTCTTGTCTCACTCAGACACACAAACAGCCTGGAACAAATCGGTGATAACCTTTCCGATAAAGGATCCCAACAGTTGCTGCAGATTTCCTGTGAGGGATGCAGGTCTTTGGAGTCGAGGACACAGACACATTGTCATGCAACACACACTCACATGCATGGAGGGAAAAGGTGGCACCTCACACCACCCTCACCCACGTGCCCGCCATAGATACCAGCAAATGACTGAGCAGCAGCTGAGCGATAAGGAGGCGAGTCTTTTCTCTGACAAAACAGCTGCTGTTCATAATGAGGAATATGATAATCAGCCCGTTGTCCACAAAGAGACGCAAAAATACCAACAAAACAGAAACTGATGGCTACAGTAAAAATAAGCTTCAACTGAAAGCTTTAAAACAAAGGGGTCAGAGGTCACTTTGGGTCAGATGAAACCAAACAATATCTCTTGCTCATGTGTGCTCATCTGAAGCACTTGAAGAGGATTTTCTTTGCAACAGTGAAATATAGTGTCCAAGCAAAATGTTACTTCCCACAAGGATTTTTATTTTTTCATCCTTCTACTTACAAATTGCTCTTGCTTTCTGCAAAAACACAAGCATCCCAAGAGATCTGAGCTTTCTGAGAACCTTTAACAATATTTTAATCAGCATTTTAGGACCACTTCTGTTGCCTTCTGCAAACAGCTACCCCGGTGTCGGTACAGGATCGGCTCGGGGTCCTTCGACTGCCGATGACGTCAAAGTACGGCAAACCCACTCGGACAAAATACACTACACATCTATACTGTTGGAAAGAATTGAGCAGTTTCGTTATTAAAATAATGTTTCTTAAGACGTAAGTTTGTGTTTATAATAGTATTTGTAAAATAAAACACTATATTTTATTCATAATGTTGAACTCCTCTTAGAGCACATCCCTTGAAGGATCATAGGTATTAGCAACACCTGTGAAATTGTATTTGCAGGAAAGAAGTGTGTCCTGTTTATTAAAGTATTTTGTGTTTAGTTTTTGACGTCTTGTCCATGCGTAGTTCAGTTACGCTCATAGCTGCTAGCCAAAACTCTGGAGTTAAAAGTTTTCTGGCTTTACTAAAATACCTGTCTGTACTTATTTGATTGATGGTAGTTTTACTTTCTATTAGACTCCAAATGTAATCATTTGGCACGTTTCTAATTCATAATTTGTAATAATGTAATTGGTGATATTAGCATTAGCATTCCTATGGGTTTTTCCACGTATATTAGCATTGCGCTAACCACTCGCTGCCAAATTGCAGCCTTTGCGATTAGAAAATCTCCTTTTGTCACATCGCAATTTAATTGCATATGAGTTAATCGTTCAGCCCTAATATACATGCAGCTCTATGCTAAAAGTGTATTTTCAAAGAGGTAATGATGGATTTCTTTGTAAAAGTTGTCCGTCTTTCCAACAGAAAGATTTGCCTGGACCAACATAACGTGATAACGTAATTCCGTAAGGTTCATGTTCAGCCAATCAACCACTTAGACGTCATCGGCAGTCGACGGACCCCGAGCCGATCTTGCACCCGAGCAGATCCTGTACCGACACCGGCACTGAAATCTAAATTATTCACTTCCAACAAAAAATTCATTAAAACTATATTTCGGACATTTTATCTGCAAATAATGCAATTAAGAAATGGCATTTAGGAGTCAGGTGAGAGGTCAAGATGAGAAATTTCATTCTGAAGAATGCCAGAAGGACAGGATGCAGCAATCTTCAGGAAGCTTTAACCCTCTGGAGGCAGGCGTTGCAGATTTGCAACAGTTATAACCTACCTACCTGGTTACTCCACTTACGTATTTCATGAGCATTTTTAACTCAGAAGTACCCCTGAAGGACTTAGTTGTTTGTCCTTTTATCAAAACTTATTTTGAGCCTGAGAGGGTTAACAAACTCAAAGATACCAGCGTGCAATGGAGCAGGGACCTCCCAAATTTAGAAGCGTAAGAAAGGCAAAAACTAAATAAATAATTCAGACTCAGAGTTGGCCTAAAACTGTGTTTAAAAGCTCAGACACCTACAGGAGTGTCACTAAATGTGCATTTCCACCATCCAGAAGTGAAAGCATCTATGACTGTTGTCAGAGGATACATTTGCTCATTTCCTGCTACTGGGTGAGGAAATCACCCCACAAATGATCTGACCTTGCAGAAAAGACCAAAATGCAGAGGAACTGATTCATAAAACTGTAAACTGACCTTAACAAGCGTAAAATAAATGAATAAAAAGTAAACAAGGTACTTAGTTTGTTTTAGAGCATCATCCACTTCTCTGCCCAATAGGATAGCGTCCAGCTGATCCTTAACACTAACCAACAGGGCATCCTTCATACGCTTTTCAGGTGATTTCAGAACAAGAGCTTGGAGTCGTCGTGTTTTTCTTTTAGCTCTAACATACAGCTAAAAATCCTCTGAAGGCATTGTGTCTAACAACGACAGCTCTCGCTGAGCAGCTCAACATCGGCAGGGAAATGAAAAAGATACCGATTTGAGCCCCATGTTGACTGTCCTTCCACAAAGAACGACACATTTATCCAAGCCAAACAAAGAACAGACGGTATGCAGTTAAATACAAATAACGTTTTAGGCTGTTTCTGTTATTTTAAAACTGCAAAGATTAGAAATAATGTTCACCAGGAAAAAATACCTTTGTTCCTGTTACTTGCTGAGTCCTCACATTTCTGTATTTGTGCCAAATTAGTATAAACCAGGGGCCTTCAACTACATTTGTAGAAATGTGCCTAAAGCCCTCACATGAAGCAGGATTTCTGGTCTCTCTTTTCACTGTAGTTTTAGTTGTGTTTGGAGAACGTAAAAATGGGACACACAAAGACAAAGTAATGTGTCTATAGTTATATTGTGATTTCTTAGTAAATATTCTATTTGGTGAGAGATAAACTTTATTGTATTTATCCTAGTGAATCTATGATTGAATGGGTAAACTAGCAGTAGCACATCCAACGTCAAGGAAAGCAAAAAGTTATTATCAGGAGAGGGAGAATGTTTTAGTGGTTAGCAGCAGTGTGCTAGACGATGGCCCCCTCCATGAGGCCACCACAGCTCAGCAGAGCATCATTGTAGCTTCTTCTGGGGAGAAAAACACTTACAGAGAAAATAAAGTTAACAGCTGAAATTGCAGAAAATAATACAGTTAAAGAGCAGATTGTAGAAGAAAGCAGTAGAGTATGGAAAGTGGTCAGTGTATCCTCCAGCAGTCTAAGCCTATAGCAGCATAACTACAGAGATAACTCTGGATAACCTATCCTATTTAGATGGAGGCATGTTGGAGGCAGGGCAAGGGAGAGGTATGCAGGAAGCATAGAACCCAGCCCGTGGGCCACCACCAACCCGTCCACGTTTCTAATAGATTTTCCCCGCTCAGTGACGCACCCACTGATAAGCCGACTCTGATCATTGGCAGCTCCATAGTCAGAAACGTGGCATTAGAGACTCCAACAACCATAGTTAAATGTTTACCTGGGGCCAGAGCGGGCGACATTAAATCTTATCTGAAACTGCTGGCTAAGGATAAGCGTAAATACAGTAAGATTGTTATTCACGATGGCGGTAACAACACCCGCTTACGCCAATCGGAGGTCACTAAAATTAATGTTGCTTCGCTGTGTAAGTTTGCCAAATCAATGTCGGACTCCGTAATTTTCTCTGGCCCCCTGCCTGATCGGACCAGTGACGTCATGTTTAGCCGCATGCTGTCCTTCAACCGCTGGCTGTCTAGGTGGTGTCCTGAAAACAACGTGGGCTACATTGATAATTAGAAAACTTTTTGGGGAAAACCTGGTCTGATGCGTAGAGACGGCATCCATCCCTCTTTGGATGGTGCAGCTCTTCTTTCTAGGGACATGGCCAGTTTTATTAGTCCTCCATGACTACCCAGGGTCCAGACCAGGAAGCAGAGTCGTAGTTTAACACACCCCTCTGCAGCTTCTGTACTGTTACCCACCCACTACCCCATAGAGACAGTGTCCTGCCCACGGCCAAAATCACACAGATTAAATATCAGGCTTAATAAAGCAAATCATGGAAATCTCATAAATATTAGAACAAATTCAACTGAGCAGAAAACTAGAAAAATTTAATGTGGGTTGTTGAACATTAGATCCATTTTTTATAAGACTTTGTTAGTTAATGAGTTGATTTGTGATAATCAGATCTCTTCGCTCTCTCTCACAGAATCCTGGCTGCAGCAAGAGGACTATGTTAGCTTAAACGAGTCGACTCCTTCAAAATATTTAAATCATCTTACTGCTCGAAGTACAGGGCGAGGAGGAGTAGCAACCATTTTTCATTCGAACTTATTAATCAGTCCCTTACAGATTAATAGTTACAGTTCGTTTGAACATCTTATTCTTAGTTTTCCTAATCCAGATTGCAAAACTGTAAAACCACTCTTGTTTGTTGTTTTATATCGTCCACCAGGCCCTTACTCTGAGTTTTTGGATCAGATCTCTGATTTTTTATCTGATTTGGTGCTAAATACTGATAAGATCATTGTAGTGGGGGATTTTAATATTCATGTTGACATTGAAAATGATTGCCTCAATGTAGCCTTTAGTAATATCCTAGACTCAATTGGTTTTACTCAAAGAATACATAGCTCCACCCACTCCTGCCATCATACATTGGACCTTGTTCTGACTTATGGCATAGAGTGTGAGGAAATAACAATCTTTCCACATAATCAAGTCCTCTCGGACCACTTTCTGATAACCTTTGAGTTTTTTATAACTGAGTTCTCGAGACATGAAAGTAAATTTCACTATAGTCGGTCTCTATCTGACAACGCTGTTGCATCTT